CGCGTCCCACAGGTCGACGTCGGCCACTTCGCGGGTGAGCTCGAGCGCCACGTCGGGCATATTGCGCGAGCAGAACACCTTCCACCGCCGACCCTCCCCGCCGGAGGCGCGACGCCGCTCCGCGCTCACACTCTCACTCGCACCGCTGTCCATTACGGGGGCTTTGGGCTTTTGGCTCTACAAGGGGGGCTGGGGCTGGGGCTGGGATGGCCAACGGACGACGGGGTGAACGCTGCCCGAGAGAGAGAGCTGCTGCGCACTCACACTTACGGACACTTGAAACTCCGCAGGGAAGCGCCGAAGGGACGTGCGGGAAGAAATGTGCGAGAACGCGCGCAACACCACACGACCACCACACGACCACCACCACACGACCAAGGCTCAGGCTCGAGGGTCCGCTGCTGACCTGGGCCGATGGTCAGGGATCGCTGGTGCGGCGGCCGACGGCCAGGCACACACAAGAGGCCTCCCCCATCCACCCGGCGCACAGGTCGTAGCCCACAAGTCGGCGCCCCGGGTTGTCCATTATCCACTGCCGCACCTGCGCATGTGTGTGTTGTTTGTCGTGTCGTGTCGTGTCGTGTCGTGTCGTGTCGTGTCGTGTCGTGTCGTGTCGTGTGTGGTGAGCACGAGTCACCGTTTGCCCGAAGGCAGTTATGAGGTGGTACGGGTTGCGTGGCCTGCTGGGCGTGGTCGATGAAAGCGCGCACGATGGCCTCGGCCGACAGTCCGCCCTGCGCGTCGGCGGCCGCGCGGGCGAGGCAGCGGGCGAGGAGCGGCAGGGTGACGGCGGTGTCCCACGGGTGGAGCAGGCGGTCGCCCTGCACCTCGGCCCACGTGCGGTGATGCGGGCAATGGGCGAGGAACGGGTAGTCGGCCTCCCGGTCCGCCGCGGTGATGTCGTGGCGCAGGTAGAACGGCTGCAGGTTGCGCCACGCCCCGTTGGACAGCAGGAACACAAAGTCCCCCTCCTCGCACGGCACCACGCAGTAGTTCTGCGCACGATGCACCCACCCCACCCCACCCCACCCCACCCGCCCTTGTGTGTGAGTGTCTGCCCCACCGCGCCACACCGGCGGTCGTCGCCAAGTGGTCCGCCTTGGGGGGAAAGAAGGGGACACCTTGTTCCGGAGGTCGGGCTTGCCCTGGTCGCTGTAGGGCCCCAGGTACCCGCCTGCCACCACCATTCGGTCGTTACGTTCGTTCGTTTGCCGCCCTCGGTGCAGGGCCGTGAGGGCGAGAGGGGGT